TAACATTAACCATTATGATGGAGTCATGTGGGCTAAATTCATAAAGCCAATTCCTTGACCCTGGCTAATAGAAGAATAATGGGTTGGATAGCTAAAATTGTAAACTTTACACAGGATACTTGTAAATTGCCTTGTCCACCATCCTCTTTTGTATGGTTGCTGGCAAACTGCATTGCTAGATTTTAATCTTAGCCTATCTTATTCCTGACATAATAGGGGAATAATCCTAAGTAGAGTATTAAAAATTTTGTAGGTATTGCAAAATTGCACCTAGATTTCAATTCATCTTTCCTGTTTGCACTTACTAAGCACAAAAACCAATAGGTCATGGCACCTGTGCTTTGTGAGTTGAAAAAAGGAGTCAGTCCTAAGAGGTCTTGGTAACACTGAGTTACTGTATAGCCAGCATCATTATCCTCATTTTCTTGAGGACCAAGAACATATAAGGATACCCAGAATGCAGACAAATCCCAACATGAAAATACCTTGCTTACTAGATCTCTTCATTGAATAACAAATATGTGAAAACCCACAAGGTACCAAGTACTGGGGCAGCAGACTATGGCCTCAAATTCAAGTCTTGGCTGCTACACTTCCAATCCAGTTCCCTGATAAAGCCCCTTGGGAATGCAGCATAAAATGGTCCAAGTACTTGAGCCCCCGCCACCACCATGGGAGACCTGGGTGGTGTTCCAGGCTACTGGTTTCAGCCTGGCTCAACCCATGCCATTGCAGTCATTTGGGAAATGAACTGGGGAATCGAAGATCAATCTCTCTCTCCCTGTTCCTCTCCCTGTCCTTTTCCCTCTGTAACCCTGCTTTTAAAATAAATAAATAAACCTTTAAAAAAAAAAAAAAAACTACCAAGTACTGTTTTATGTACTGGGATACAGCAGTGATGGAGCCAAAGTCTTTGCCCTCAGAGGTCTACACCAGTGGCAATGCTTACCATATCCCAAAACTAGGTATGTGATGCACTGTAAACCTTGAAAACCAAACACTGTCTGATAATGAGAAAGTATCTCAGTAAACTAGATATCTGAGTGGACAAGATTAGCAACTTCACATTTTTAAGAGTGAAATGTAATGGAATTTGCAACTGGGAAACAGAAACTTAGGGCAGAAAAGGATAAACATGCCTCAGTCTCAACAGAGTGGGGAAGACAGCTGAAAATCACTGTGATTTTTCCTCAAATGATAGCCTAGGTAATCTCCAAGTAGTAATTTATGAAACAAAGGGACTCAGAATTCTTTTTCAGGTTTTCCAATTTCTACAGGATTCGGATTATGTCCTAAGCCACATGTGTCACAGAGCCAATCTTCTTACCCAGTTCGGCCAGCCAGCCAGCCGCCCATAATTACACTTGGCATCCCACCAAGGCCATAATCTGAGTCAGGAATGAAAGAACTTCCTGATATGCCTCAGAAATACATTAATGATCTCATGAAACATACTTACACATGTATAAATAAACACACTCAAAAATGTGCAAGTATGAATATATGTAAGGGGGTAGGTAGGTAAGTAGGTAGGAAAGTAGACAGGTAGAGAGAAAGTTCCTCTCTGCTTGACAGACAGGCACAGAACTAGGTCAGGGTTCAAAACCTGGTTACCCATTTTCTCTAGGGTGAATCATACTTGTCCACAAACCACGAGGGGCATTTTTGCACTGGCCAGAAAGAGGAGGAAAGCAGCAATATCCCATGTGAGACCCTACATAGGTGATGACTTCATACATATTCTATGCTGCCCCTATCACAAACTGCCTTCTCCCTTCCTAAATTAAAGTCTGTAGGCTCTAAAGGGTTGAAATGTATCAGGTTAGTTTTAAATGTGTTTCCCAAGCCACACAGTAAATACACATAGATAGATAAATACATAAGTATTGGCAGACATATATAGAGACTGTGGTTCTATTTATCAAAGTGCAGAGAACTGGCAAAATTAACCTATTAGAAATCAGGAGAATGGTGATGGCTCATCAGGGGAGAGTGTGGCATGAAATGGGTACGAATGCTTCTAACAGCCTATGCACTGATCCAGGAGCCATTTACACAGAGCAAATGCTTTGTGAAGAATCAGCAAGGCGTCTATTTAGGTGCATTATCCTGCATGTATATTATAGTTCAACACCCAGTCCTCTCTATAATTCAGCTTCCAAACAATTTAGGTTTACCTCTAACATACAGTTATCTCTTCCTGAGAAATTAAACTATTTGTAAATTAGTCACTGCCATGGAACTCTGGCCAATTGTTTAAGCAATAAAAAAATAAATAAATAAAACCTACAAATCTTACTAGTCTCTCCCTAATGCATTATTGATCAAACAGCACCTCTGGGCAGTTAGAGAAAACCACTTTTAAATCAATTACTGGGGGATAGGGCAACTATATGTATAAGAGCGCATTTTATCAAACCTCCAAAAGATTTTCTTAAATATTTATAAATTCCTCTTCAGAATTACACAAGTGACTAGAACCCAAAGTCAAGTGACAGCTATCACAAAACCTGTGAGCCGAAGTCTACCTACTCTTTGCCTCTTCGTTCAACTTGAAAATAGTTAAATAAAAATAAAGTGACAACTCCTATAACAGAAGATTATGGGGACAAATACATCTACAGCAATGCCTTGCCCTCCTCTTTTCCAAACTGACTTGTCTGCCTCCCTCTAAATTTAAGCACACCTGTACTCTTTATTCCCTGCAAAAGAGGGGGAGGAGGCGTCTACCAAAGTAATTTACATTAACAAAACGACAGGAATGAAGCTCAATACCAGGTCTCTTATATGAGACCATTCTAATTCTACTTGAAAATGTTATCACAGCAATATATATTACATTTTGTGAATGTTACTTTGGTACAATGGGCAAGCTTAAAACATTCATTTCATATTTAAAAGATGAGATGTTTAAGTAATAACATATTTAAGTAATTAAGAATAAGATTCCTTTTTTTTTTTTTTTTTTACCTTTTTGGGGATTGATTTTTTTTTTTTTTTTTAATCAAATCCTTGGGGCCGGCACTGTGGCATAGCAGGTAAAGCCGCTCTCTGTAGTGCTGGCATACCATGTGGGTGCCGGTTTGAGTCCCAGCTACTCCACTTCCAATCCAGCTCTCTGCTATGGCCTGGGAAAGCAGTACAAAATGGCCCAAGTCCTTGGGCCCCTGTACCCACTTGGGAGACCCAGAAGAAGTTCCTGGCTTTGGATCAGCGGCGCAGCTCCAGCCATTACAGCCAATTAGGGAATGAACCAGTGGATGGAAGACCTCTCATTCGCTCTCTCTCTGCCTCTCTTTCTCTCTGTGTAACTCTGACTTTCAAATAAATAAATCTTAAAAAAAAAAAAAAGAATCAAATCCTTTTTGAAAAAGATTTAGATTGATGGCCAAATGCTATCAACTGCAAATGACAAATATCTCTTCCATCATTGACACTGCATTTTTTAGTGCATCTAACTCTCCTCTCCCTGCCCTTGCCATGAAAGTCTACACTCACAGATGAGACCAACCAAAGTTAGGCCCTCAGTAGGAAGGAGCATTCTGACATATGTTGGTGTACAATATGCGATGAACACATAGTTTTTCTGACTTCACAATGGTGTGAAAGCCGTATGACTTCAGTAGAAACCTTGGTTCACATTTTGAGTTTTGATCTCCTAGGCTCGTGAGACGTGGTGCAATACACGGTTGCGATGCCTAGCAGCAGCTACAGCTCCCGATGAGGAGGGGAAACCACCCACACCCCCAAAATGCTACAGACTACTGTGCTGCCAAGCTATGACGTTCAGTAAGCTAGGTATATTAAATATACATCTTTCTTACAATATTTTCAACTCACAGTGGGCTTACCAGGATGTAAGCCCATTCTAAGTCAAGGAGCCATCAGTACCAACCTCTAGCCTGGATCTGCCCACCCCACCCCCTATCAGTGAACAGGCACTGGCCTCTACTCTACTACAGCAAGTAGCTGAACCACCTCTCAAGCTTCATTCTCCTTCTCTGGCAGATAGGCATGATGGTTTCCCTACCTAACACAGTGACTGTAGATACCAGGTGACATCATGCACCGAAAGCCATTAGCCACTGCTCTGCCCGGCATTTAGTAAACAGCCAATGACTTGTAACAATGTTTGCAGCGGCAGTAATGAAAACTTTTCTCCTACAAGACTTTAAGATTTCACTTAGCAAATATGGAATTTACCAAGACTAACACTTGACCAAAAAAAATTATATTTAAAGTCACCCAAGTAAAGTGTGCATAAAAGACTCTAAACTGTGCACAAAAGACTCTAACTGTAGCCTGGCTTCTTGCCACCTGACTTGCAGTCTCTGCATTCCGAATATATTCTTATAAACTGGTTCAAGAAAGGCCATGGCCTTAGGAATGCTCTGTTACACATCCCTTACACCTCTTGAACCTCAGTCTACTCACCCATAAAATGGGAGTATAGTCCCCATTACATGGTAACACTGAGGTTGTAAGTGCTATTTGCAAATGGCCTGAACAGTTCCTTACACATTAGCAGAGAATTATTTTCAGGAAGATGGAATTGGTGAAATCATCGAAGCAGGAAAACTTTCCATGCTTTGTACTCCATTTTCCCTCTCTGTAGCATTTTACAGCTTGCTTTCTGTTCCAATCAGACGCGCTCCTCCTAAGGCTGCAGAAGTGGTTGCCTTGAGTTTATTCATGTCCGAGCCTTCTCCCAGCCCCGCCGTCACCCTCCCAGTACATACCAGTGGCCTGTGCAAAGGCAGTACCAACCTGATGCTTCAAAAGTCCGACTACAGGGGAACTTTCACATCACTATAATTTAGCCCCAGCAAAGCGCAACCCTCATCCAGGAAGAGGAGGAGAGGAGTGGAAATGTTCCTGGACTACAAATTATATTTCTTTTACCCACCAATGGGAAAAACGTCAGAAACGTATTTCGCTTCGCTGACTGCGGCCCCTACTTTCAAACTACGATAAGAGTGACATCTGAGAATGAGGCTTACCTATTTGCACCATTTCTTCATTACCAGCCTGGAAGGGGGCGGGGGAGAGGGAGAGTAAGAAAAAGACACAGTTACTGGGTTTCATCTTATCACCTCTGTGCGTCTCATTTCCCCCACGAATGCTTTCCAGGAGCTGGCTAATCAGGAGCCGGTGGAGACTGGGACTGATGCCTACAGGCTGCACCTTAGGTCTGCGCAGGGCTCTCGTGATGGCAGGGACCGCCGATTCAGCAACAATATTAGGGAAGACGGCTGTTTTTCCAGTTTTCGTTTTAATTTAGTATTTACAAAGCCAGCAAAAATTGATAAATAAATACTGACCCTGCAGGGTTCAGTACTGGGTCGAGATTAGAGGAAAAAGGCTGTGAAGTTAAACGGGGCGGGGAAGGAGCCTCAGAGGGGGCCAGATTCACCACAGGCTCGCAGGTCCCCAGTCAGCTACAAAATTCCCTACTTTCCAGCGGGGACCAGGGCAGCTCCCCTAACTCACTGAGAGGCTGCCCCGCGGCCCCGCGCTGCTGAGATCTGCAGCCAGCCAGCGGCTCGCCCGGCCCAGCCTCCGCGAGCATCGGGCTTCACCTTGGAGCTCCCGAAGGTGGGGGCAGGGCCCGAAAGGAACACGGCCGCCCTCCGCTCGGCTTTAAACAGGGGGAGGAGCTGTGCCCCTAGCGGGAGCGGGGAGGAGAGGAGAGGAGGGGAGGGTGGCGGCCGGCGCCGGCAGCCGCTGCCCAGGAAAACGCCGGGCAGGAAGCGTCCCCGGCCCCCCGCCCCAACTGTCAAACTGCAGCCCGGCCGCGGTCCTCCCAGGACACGTGTCTACTGGATCGCTGTCCGGCCCCAGGACTTCCTGCAACCCTCGTGTCCCGCTGCCCGAGACAGCCGTGAGTCAGGCGCAGAGAAAGCCCCGCCACCGGCGCCCGGGCAGCCCGCAACTTCATTCCCGCGCCCAGCCCGCCCCCCCGGAAAGCGGACGCCTGGACGCGGGCCCCGAGGATGCGGAGTGGCTGCGGCCCCAGGTGGGACCAGCCCGGGCCCCGGACTGGGGGCGAGGGTCACAGCCTCCCGTGCAAGTCGACCCCCACACCCCCCAAAAAAACACCACCCTTCCTGACGCGGAAGATAACAGGGGAGAGTGGGGGAGGAGGGGGCAGAGCAGCGGGGAGAGGGGAGGAACTTTTCCAGGGAAAGGTTGGGTTTGAGTCTCTGATTGTTGTCATTTTCCACTTACTTGTCCATCAGCCGAAGTCCTAACCTCTACCAGAGCGGCTACTATCAACCAAAGTGACAGGAGAACCATCACGAGTCGAGTGCCCTTTGCAACTGCTGGGCAGAGCGATGCCCAGAGCAAACCCCTCCCCAAAATAAGTTCAAAAGGAAAAAAAAAAAAAGGAAGGAAAAAAAGGCAGAATAAAAACAAAATGTTCTTCTGTGCTTTGCTTCAGTGAGAAGGAAACGTGAGCTCTGAGACCGGCCCCCCGCTCTCGGCGGCTCTGCCCGCTGCACCTCAGCCCGTCCTCGCCGCCCGCGCGTGCAGCCGGGGAAGGTGCGGCGCGCGCCGGCACGGGCTGCGCCCGGAGAGCGGCAGGGAGCGGGGGCTGCCGCGGCCCGCGCCCCGCGCCGCGCCGCGCCGCGCCGGCGAGGAGGCTGGAGCGCCGTGGGGGCCTGAGCGGAGCGCGGAGAGTGGCCGGGCGCCCCGGAGCGCGCGGCGGCTGGAGCGAGCGTTGGCGAGAGCGCCGAGCGAGCGGGAGAAAGAGGCAGCGAGAGGGCGCCTCCGCCGCGCACGCAGAGGGGGGCGGGAGGAGCGAGGAGCGAGGGGCGGCGGCGGGCGGAGGCGGAGGGAGGAGGGCGCCGCTCGCCGGCTCCGGGGCTCGCCGCGCGGCCGTCTGCTCGCGGCCCGCGCCCCGCCGGGCGCTCATAAGGCGGCCCCGCGCCCCCCGGGCGGCCCCTCCCGCCGCGGCGCCCACGTCACACGGGCCGGGCCCGCGCCCCCCGCGCCCGGGGCAGCGGTGGAAACCGTCGGGGGCTCTCGGGGCCCGGCCCGGAGCCGGCATCCCCGGAGCCTCTGCTGGCCCCCGACGAGAGCGAGGGGAGGGGCTGGCGGGACGCGGTGGAGTTCATTATAGGCAGGGGGAGGGTCCGCGGCCGGTAGGAGTCACCTCCGGCCGCCTCCCCAGCCCTCCCGGCGGGAGCGGCTGCAGACACCGGTCGCCTCCCACGTCCGGGGCCGGGGGGCGCCCCCCGTTTCTTTCAGCGCCTGTTTTTGCTTCCCCGGTCTGGCGGAGCTGGGAGAGAGACCGCGTCCCTGCCGGGGCTCACCGGAAGCCAGCGTTTATCACCGGAGTCCACAGGCCTCGCGGCTCCGGCTGACACCGAGATTAAGTTATCAGAGGCTTTCTGCCCACGGTGGCCCGGAGCCGCCTGCGTGGAGACGGCTCCAACCTGAGGGCTGGCCGCAGTCCCAGCCGAGGCCACTCCCAGGGGTGGACGGCAGCGGGCGCTTCCCCGGCCGGCGGGGACTCCCCGACCTCCGCCTTCCACCTCCCGGGAAGAGATCCGGCGCACATTTAAGTAATGTCTACACCTGGAGACGGCCCTGCGGCGGCCTGCCTGATTAAAGCCAGAGAAGCTCCTGTTTCGCTATGAGATGCTTCAATAAGTCAGGCTGGTCTCTCTATATATATATAAAACATGCTCTGGGAGAGTTTCTTGTAACTTTGATTCATTGTTTATTCCTAGAGAGGTGCGTGCATTTAACAAACACATTGCAAGACTGGGTATGCAGTGGTGTGCTGTCTGCTAGGTCTTCCCCGAATCCTACTTTCGGGGCGTTTACATGCACACATGAGAAACCGCATAAATGGCCCCACCTAATAATACTGTATGGAATTAGGTTAATCAGTTATTAGGTGGCATTGGAAGTAGACCCCAGCGCTGAAGTATCTCTAAATGACTTTTTTCCTTCCGCTGAAGTCTGTACCGTTTTTGTAACCTGTCATTGACTTGCTAGCCCAGAATGATTTACTGAACGGTTTTCTTACTCATTAAAAAGAAATAACATGAAACATTCTCTATATTAAAAAATGTTGTCAATTTGCACAGAGCTGCGAAAGAATAGAGTACGCGAGAATTGGGTGGGAGGCCAGCCAGCAGCTACCTGACCTTGGAAAGTCCGTGAGAGTCTATTTTAGGTTTCTCCCCTGTGAGATAGTTCAGCTCTGAAGCTCTGATTGTAAGTAATAACAACATCTTGAGCTATAGTGTGACAGCAGTCTTTTTTTGTGTGTTAATTTTACAACATCCAGACATTCGTTATGGCCTAAAGCTCAGGAAAGCAGTGGCTTCAAACACTTTTGGACAAACTCAATACATGCATTGTATGTTGTGATCCATAGAAATTGCCTGATTTAGTTCTTCCCATACTGCATGCAGCAAACCTGATATTTTCTTCCTATTCATTTTCTTTTTTTCAAATACTCTTCAGGACCCACTTGACTGATTTCACAACCCACTGGGTCACGACCCTCACTGTGACAAATTTTGATGAAAAGCATAAAGTAGTTCTGTTCCTTTGATTCTAAATGAGTGCTTATTAATAAGGTTATCTCAATATACTCTATGGTGGCAGCGTCCAAAGTATTCCCTAGAATATTAAATATTTTACCAGGAAAAAAAACTCAAAGTTTGTGAACTACTCAGGTAAACAAAATGAAATGGATTTATTTACTTGTGACATCACAGGAACCTTAATTTCACAAATGCATTGCGACAAGGGAGAGAGATGTAATTGGTTGTACTTTACTTATATAACAGGAATGACTTTTTCCTCATGCTTTATCATCTGTGGACCGCAGTTGGGGAAATGCTATCACAAAAAAGTAAAATGAATTTCAAACGGGGTAGATTGCATTCACATGCAGATTAAGTCTCCAAGTTCTCAACTTAAAAATCGATTTAATAATACTGTCTTTGGAAAAAATCTCAAAAATCAACATGATCTGACACATAAACCATCTAGCACACTTTGTCTCAAACACAGTGGGGGCTACTGTGACGGTGGATGAAAGTGATAGCATATGTACTCATACAGGGTTCAGCACTCTCCATGGTTTCTCTCATCCACTGGGAGTCTTGGAATGATCCCTTATGGATAAAGAGGAGCCATGTTATAAACATTTTAACTGTACAACCTCAGTTGTCAGCAGTCAACTAAGAGAGCTATAATTCCGAGGTTGTCTTTTGAAGATTTTTGTTTAAGGTCTATGTATATCTTGTCATAATTGTGTACAAAATATATCAATAAGATTTATTTCTCACAGCAAGGTATTCATCAACCAGGGATTGCTGTTTGGCCTAGTGTTTAAGACACTGGTTAAGATGTATCCATACCAAGTCACAGTGCCTGGGTTCATGCCTCAGTACCCACTCCTGATTCCCATTTTTAACCAATGCAGACCCTGGAAAACAGCATTTATGGCTCAATTAACTAGGACGTTGCCACCCACATGTGAGATAGAGTTGGGGTTCCTGGTTCCTGGTTTTGGCCTGACCTGGCCTGGGCTGGAGCAGCCCTAGCCATCATAGAGAAGAGGGCAGTGAGCCAGTAAATGGGTGCTCTGTCTCCCTGACTCTCAAATAACTTTTTTAAAAAGTTCATTCTTACATGCATTTTGGCGGGGAGGGGGGGGTGGGTTGTGTGTGTGTGTTTTGGAGGAGGGCGGTATTCAGTTTTCCCACTTTTAATATATTAACATCCACTTGTCAGTATTCATTAGAGACATGATAATTTTTTCATTTATTCCCATGGTCAAATTTGAGAAATTTTGCACTCAGCTTTGTTCATAGTGTAAGTCCAGAGTGTTATTGCATCCTAAATGGCCTCTGTCGCTCCCCCTCTTCGCGGAGGAACGACACAGGACCCTGTGCTGTTCTTTTGTCTGCTCGGCCCTCCCCGGGTTTGCTGCTGGTTCTTCCCGGGTTGGCTACCGTCCCTTCCACCTCCGTGGAAGGGCGGTTCCCCCTGCCACATTCCCCACTTCCGCAGGGGAGCGGCACACCGCCGGCCGGCTCTCTGGGGGGCTGCACAGGTGTTCCCCTTAGATGTTCCCCTTAGATGTTCCTGGTGCATGCCGTCTCTCTCCTCCTTTATAGTCCTCTTCCGCCAATCCCAACTCGGCTGCCCACACGCCGAGTACGCTGCTCTCCTCCAATCAGGAGCAGGTCCTACAGTTTATTGGTTGAACTGGAGGCAGCTGTGTAGAAGCTGTTTCTCCCTTCTCAGCGCCATATTGTGGGAGAGCAGATGCATAGAATAAGTCTTAATTCCAGTAACAGTCTAGTCCGAGTTGCTCCCCACAGGCCTCCTCTTCCCAAAATTGCACAGTCCTTGGCCGGCGCCACGGCTCACTAGGCTAATCCTCCGGGTTCTAGTCCCTGTCGGGGCGCCGGATTCTGTCCCGGTTGCCCCTCTTCCAGGCCAGCCCTCTGCTGTGGCCAGGGAGTGCAGTGGAGGATGGCCCAGTGTCGCTCCCCGTCCTCGTGGAGGAACGACACAGGACCCTGCGCTGTTCTTTTGTCTGCTCGGCCCTCCCCGGGTTTGCTGCTGGTTCTTCCCGGGTTGGCTACCATCCCTTCCACCTCCGTGGAAGGGCGGTTCCCCCTGCCACTTTCCCCACTTCCTCGGGGGAGCTGCATACCGCCGGCTGGCTCTCTCGGGGGCTGCACAGGTGTTCCTTCAGATAGATGTTCCTGGTGCATGTCGTCTCTCTCCTCCTTTATAGTCCTCTTCCGCCAATCCCAACTCGGCTGCCCACACGCCGAGTACGCTGCTCTCCTCCAATCAGGAGCAGGTCCTGCTGTTTATTGGTTGAACTGGAGGCAACTGTGTAGAAGCTTACTCCCTTCTCAGCGCCATATTGTGGGAGAGCAGATGCATAGAATAAGTCTTAATTCCAGTAACAGTCTAGTCTGAGTTGCTCCCCACAGCCCAGGTGCTTGGGCCCTGCACCCCATGGGAGACCAGGAAAAGCACCTGGCTCCTGCCATCGGATCAGCGCGGTGCGCCGGCCGCAGCGCGCCGGCTGCGGCGGTCATTGGAGGGTGAACCAACGGCAAAGGAAGACCTTTCTCTCTGTCTCTCTCTCTCTCACTGTCCACTGTGCCTGTCAAAAATAAAAAAAAAAAATTGCACAGTCCTTGAGGCCATTGACCCTACTTTGTTCTCCCCCACACCAACATACAGCACAGTTTGCATCCCATGGATTTTACAGAATACTTTCAGTGCTGCATCTGCAGTATATCCAGGCAAAATCAATTCACTTTCCCCCACCTACTGATGAGCTTTATTCCAGGTTCTGGGATTCTTGACACCTAGAACTACCAAGAGGAATATTAGAGGGGCCGGCGTTTTCGTGCAACAGGTTAAGCCACTGCCCGCATCCCATATGAGCAAGATTTAAGTCCCAGATGCTCTGCTTCTGATCCA